TGATGATGGTGATGATAGTGATGATGATGATGATTATTATTATTATTATTCCAGGTGATTGGTATGAAAGGGGTATCAGAATTTATCAAGTATGATGATGAAGATCGTGGTAACATTGACTACGAGGGTGGTGAATACCCGTATGGAATACACAAAGGAGAAAAAGATCACATGATCTTTCTGTGTTACTACACGCCAATCGGCAAAACCTTTGATGACACCGGTAAGGGGAACTTCAAACACAGCTATCACATGCCATTTAGGAACTTGCGCACACAGGGAGCCCATCGAAAAAAAGGCATACTGATCATACTTACTTCATTATCCTCTATGCTTGTGTGGCACGTAGGGCTAAAAATTCTTGCCTCGGTTGCTATGGTTATCCTTTGTGTACGTTTCCATAGCAATAAGTAATATGTAATGGAGTTGCTGGCCCCATGTACTTTGCCAGAGCCATGTTAGCCGTCTTTATCCGTTACCACTTCTCACGGACGAGGACGTAGGGGTAGACTTTAGGAGGTTTAGGCCCCGTCCACACGTATCCGGAAATTTTTGTATCCGCAAATTATTTTTTAGCGTATTCGAATCAATCGTTTTCACCGTCCACACGTATCCGTTTTCGTAAAATTTGCGGATACGGACGCAAACATTTGCGGACACGTGTGGACGCAACCCGTATCTGTAAAAAAAAATTGCGGATACAAAAATTTGCGGATACGTGTGGACGGGGCCTTATACTTACTTAATACAAGGAATCTTGAAACCCAAATGCTCATGCTTGACTCTTTCATATAAACCATTCTGGCCTTAACACATGGAACCCATACATACAGTCTAAACACACACTTGATCGGGCGCAAGCTTTACCACACAGGGAACCCAAAAGCACTGATCTTAACACAGGGAACTCATCCACAGTCTCACGACCTTTCTTTTCAGTTAAAGCCGAGGCAATTTCAACAATAAAGAAAACAAAACACAACAAAAAGCAAGATGCAGAAAATAAACAAAAGAAAATTGATAAACTTGAAGAGATGGAGAAATTAAGAAGTTCAGAGAAAATGATGGACGCTTTTCTAGCAGTGACGGCTCCACACAGAGAAGAAACAGATAAAAGTGAAAGAACAAAGACTATTATAAAGACTATTAGGGTGAGTCTCGGGAACCCAGGGGTAAAGTTCTATCGCTCGTCTCTCCCTCCCATATTTCATATTCCATGGTATACCACTCAAAATTTTGAAAATGACTTTGAAACTTATAAATGCAGAGTTTACAACAACTTATTTTTTGAAGGTTCCTGAGCGTGTTAAGGACCGCACGATGTCAATCATAGCTACGTCAATGGGAATCATCCTAGGTGCAATATTACTAGGTTCAGTCGTCCTTGTCATGATTCTACGTCATGCGAAGCGAAGGCAAGAAGAATCCAACATGGCGGACACCCTTGACGAACAGGCTCTTACCTTCACGAATTCTTCACGAAGATCAAGCTTTGCAACTTCGGATGATGAACTCGATATTATTACGGAAGGAGACTATGAAGACGAACTCGTTGAAGATCAGTACTTGCCATCTGACTCTGAGCTTAAGTCTGGGTTGGAACTCATGTTCCTAAAACAGCAAAGACACTATTGGACCAAAAATAGGAGACCCTCATCGTAAAAGAATTTTTCTACCACAGAGATTCATTTGCCTTGTTCTCTCTAAAATGTACTCAATGCGCATGCGCACAAATTATTTTTACTGCGCATGCTCACAAAAAAATCGAGCCCACACTGTTTTTGGTCAGCAGATGGGAAATTTCTAGTAAGTTCACAACTAGAACAAATTGTAAATGTATTATAAATAGCATGCGATTAATAATAGATAGAATAGAATAGAATTCTCTTTGGTCGACATTTGGAACAGATAATGAGATTCAAAGGCATTTATCAGCTGATTAAAACCCGTCAAAAGAAAGATACTTATTTTTAGTGACTGATACAAAGTATCGAGTGCAACTATCTCTCTTACGTTATAGAAATATACATTCTATATTTATATAAATTTTGTAATAAACAGTGTAAAAAATAATTTGTCATGTCTTGCGTTTATCCTAGGGAGGAGTAAGTAAGTAGGTTTGTCTCGTATAGGAGCAACAAAGCTTACTGTCCCAGGGAGGGGAAAGTGAGTCTTGTGCATACCTTAGATTTGTCAATGTTAGATTTTCTAGGTTTTATGAAAAGGATGTTCAAACTAGTAGGAACTGATGGCCCCCATGTTGGATGACATAAAGAAAAATACAAAGAATTTTCTTTTTGTCAAAATTAACCAATATGGCGGCTATGAGGTCAGATGAAAGTCAAGGATACGATATGCACTAACTTGTTCCAGTGATGGCCATTATTTGTCTTGTGACATACATGCCTCCTTGCACATAATTCATCATGACGTCAAAGCCGCCATGCTGGATGATATAACAGAAGAAACAAACATGGCAGCTATGAGGTCAGATGAAAGTCAAGGATACGATATGCACTAACTTGTCCAGTGATGGCCATTATTTGTCTTGTGACATACGTGCTTCCTTATTACACATAATTCACATAACGTCAAAGCAGCCATGTTGGATGATTATAACAGAAGAAACCAACATGGCGGCTATGAGGTCAGATGAAGGTCAAGGGCACGATATGCACTAACTTGTTCCAGTGATGGCCATTATTTGTCTTGTGACATACGTGCCTCCTTGCACCGCATATCATAGCCACGATGTGGTTGTTAAATATTCCCCCCGTAATATTACACAGACCAGCCAATATCTTTCGATTGTTCATTTTTTCTAGGAGCTGGTTGGAATAAATCAAAGAACCAACGTCGCACAACGATTATCCTATTTCTAATACACCTCTGTTATTCATAACCTTGCCTATCGCGGATCAATGAAACTCCCGTGTACCACCCCCTGGGGTTTCGTTCGTCAAAACAATTAAAAGCAAAACCAAAACAATTACTAAAGTAAATTGTATAGGAATTTCCGACATATTGAGTACAAATTTATTGATTAAAAAATTTGATCTTATCAATTAATATTTTTAATTAACATTTTGGTTTATTAAAACTATTCCAATTTCATGACCGTGAAGTCTTTGAGATCTTAATATATTTTAAAAGTTTGTTATTTTATAGATTTAGGTATTATTTTTAGGCTATTTTTTGGAATTAGAAGCATTTCAGAAATCCATATGACGGTAATGCAAAAGCACCGTTGCAGTCCTATATGTCCATTCCTCGTTTTCCAAATATATATCATTACTTGCCATAATTAAGAAAAAAATCTAACTTTAAGCCGTCGATATTGTCATTGAGTGGTCTTATCTACAAAATCAAGTGCTAACACGAATTAACCTTGCATTTGAAACATACCAAGCCATGCAGCAAGCCCAGCAAGAGTCCTTTTACCTCTATATTTACATCTATGTTTGATTTACATTCCAGAGAAAACCCATTGCAGTGCTTGTCAGTTTCGCAAAGAAGCCAATTCAGTGTCTGGGATAAATTGAATGTAATGTGATTATTGATTGAGAATGTGTCAGCCAAACTCGCCGACATCGAGTGAGGGACGTTTCCTTGTCATTGGTAGTAAAGGGGTTGGAAAATCAGGTAATATTTATTCTCTTTAGTCTTTTCTTTATCATATCTATATAAGCATATAATTATTTGACGATAATTTTGAACCTTATAAAAGATATTGAATAAGATGAAAACTCCAAAGTTAGGTTGAAAGGTCTTCTTTCTTTTATTTTCTGTTATATTGAAAACCTCAAAGGTAAACGGAAAATCTACAAAAAAGAACGAATAATTTTTTTTTTAATTTTGTATGGTGTTTTGTTTCACATCAAACTTTCCATAAATCAAACGTTTATTTCTAGCTACACATTCATTTTTGCAAAGTCGATCGACGGTAAATTATTTTTTTAAATATATTTTTTGTTTTCAGATGTCAACAGTTAAGGGTACAGAATTGAACTTAAATTTTAAAAAATCATAAAGTTTTCGAGAATATTATTGAAAACAGATTTGTTGTACTGTGTGCGTCTCATAGCCCTAAAAGCCCTTAAAAATCTTCACCTAAGAAAAATTCATTAAGGAAACGAGATTTTTAATTGACTTTGGATTAGAGTCACGCTTTTGTATTAACCGTTCAATATAATGGAAATAATAAATAGGACTTTTAGGACTTGAGGCAAGTCGATTTCCTTCTTGAAATTCCTTCTGAAGTTAAACTTAAGAATTAATATTTGTTTTAAAACATCAAGCGTGGTTGAAGTTATGTCTAAGATCATTCAAGGTTATGTTTATTTCATTCGGGTGTTTGATATGACGTCATTGTAATATATAAATATACATAGCTATTAATAGGATATAAATAGATTTAAGTGTGGATGAATTCAACCAGAAGGATTCGTCATAAGTGTCTTCGTTATAACATCCAACATGGCTGCAGTTTCTTATTTTTATTTCATTCTCTTGGGAAGGATTGAAACCCCAAAAAACGTAGACTGAATCATCCCTCCCTCCTAGAGGCCGTGAGGCCAGATTCTTTTGGATTGCACGGCGCCTTTGTACAATTTAGCGCCAATAATTTAATCTGGCTTATTATAAGTTTAAAGAGGGTCGGTACTGCTTAAACAAAACGTTATGTATCGCTAACTGGTGTGCGTTGGCGTCAAGTCATTAGAAGGGAGTGAATTAAGGTATTGAGATATGTCGGCGAGAGATAACATATCTGAAGTACTTGATGTTTGCGAGCTTAAGTCTTGATTTACGTAAGAAATAATCCTATAATTAAAAGAGGCGGTGGTTGGGCGTAATTGTTTTCCATATCAGACCATGTGCCATTTTCTAGTGTATCAATTCTTTGTTTAATGGTTGCGCATGAGAAGACACATGATTATGGATACAACTCAAACAAAAAATTTTATTCTCTAGGGAATGACACGTGGTCTGAAATGGGGAACATTACGTTCAAGGTAAAGAGCAATTTCAAGTAATAAAAACTGTTTTCACGTTTCGTGAGTTAACCTTGTTAAACTAAATGACACATGACCTCAAAACACGCGAGATCGTTATATAAGTACATTCTAGATCTGCTCTTGATTTCACCTTGGTTAATCGATCAAATAGATGCACGCTTTGTCATTACGATCCCCCCCCCCCCCCCCCCCCCCCCTTCATATCTGGGGTCCCGGGTTTGATTCCTGAACTCGGCATCACATGTAAGTGGCGTTTGTTAGGTCTCTCCCTCGATTGGAGGGTATTTCTCCTGGTCCTACGGTATTCTCCCTCCCAAAAATCTAAAAATCTTAACTCCAATTCGATGTGTGAGTTAGCCGTGCCCTGACTTAAATCACCCAGTGTTTGTTTCAGGGTATCAATACAATTTCTTGGTTCTCCTAACCATATTTTTTTTCCTTTTTCCATTTAGCTGTGACAGTACGCTACCTAACGAAAAGGTACATCGGAGAATACCAGTCCACGGCAGGTAAGATGTGTCCATGCCAAATATAGCTCGTCGCACGTGCCTGCGTTTGTGTTTGTCTGCGGTGATAAACGAAATGCGCAACTAAAACGTGCTTCTGGTTTGTGCCGACATTAGAGAAAAACGTTTGAGCATGCGTGCATTTCAGCACGTTTTCTAAGAATTTAGAAGAGTTTGAGTGAGAAAATGTTGTTTTCTCTGAGTATACAAAATATTTCGCGAGTATACTTTTGTGAGCGTAAAATGCTTCGCGCTGCCATACGATGGTTCAGCACTCGATGTCTGGGAGTATGGTTCTTATATTATTTACTAAAATCAATACCTCAAAATATGCATCGATGATTGAGCTTGAGCTTGTAGGACAGTGTTTGCGTGTCATTGTAGGCTGTTAATGAGATTCCATAATTCGGTTGATTGTTACCAAGCAATAGAATACTCTCTGGTTGATAGCACATGA